ATAAAAATCTGTACTAAATATAAGTTGCAATTCAAATTATCTAGCAAATTTAGCACATTTACATAAACAACGCAGTTGAGTACTATACCTTAATTTTCATCCTGTGTATTGTTTTCAACTGATTTAAAAATTTTCACAGAAACTTACTCTGTCTTTCAGCATTTATGAACAGAGATTCCTTAAAAGTAAATTATTATCTAACATGCATGTGAAGGCTGTGAAAGAGAGGCAAACAATTCATATTTGATATTAAGATATCATGTTTGGGGAACTCAATAGAATTTATATTGGATGTAAATACTTGAAACTCCATATCTTTCAATATGGTAGCATCAAAATGAACACAGTCACAATGTTCATTAATTCATAAAACCATAAAAAGTCACAATCTGACCTTTTGAACCTATCTAAATAAACAGAATATGATAATTTGTCCTCACATCAGTCTTCTTTCTTCTTTTCAAAATATTTATTTACTGGTGATATCCACTGATCAACATATTTGTTCCTAATTTTACAAAAAAAAAGAAAAAAAAAAAAAAGAAAAAAAAAAATACCAATCTTTTAAAAACCAAATATATGTATATTTCATTAATACAATAAATTTACCAATAAATAATATTGAAAGCACGCTGTAAGCCTCCCAGTTCTCTCTTCAAGAACGATGTTTTAAACTTTTTACTTACTAGTGGATCTAACCAACCCCAAACCTGCAACAACTCATTATCAAGTGTTTTCAAATACAAGTCTGCATGATAGTGCAAAAAATTCTAAATTCCTTATCCTTGTTTTATATCCTATGCTTACCTCCCCCTTTAACCCTTTTCTAGCGAATATCTACCTTGAGGAGTGTAATCTGGTCCTCCCTGAGAGGTCACCAAACCCAGTCAGCGCTTGGAGAACTCCATGATCAGTTCTACTGTCAGCTGGTCATCTTAGTGGATGTGTTTCGAACTTGGGGATCTTCAGTGTCGGCGTCAGTTATTCAATTTCCTAGAAGGAGCCAAAGGAACCACTTACTTACAAGGGCTCTGCTTCTATTTTTCCTTAAAATGATGGTGGGCAGACAGAAAAATCATACCATTCGCTGATTATCGTCCCTGGATTATTTGCAATGAGTATGGAACTTTAACTGAGGTCAAACTGGTGGAAAGAAATAATGACACGTGGATGGAAACATCATCACGTCACAGGTTCTGCATCTCTAAAATACGAGTTTACTCTTAAAATTAGTCTAGAATGCCTTCGTTGCACAGACATGAATCATACAAACTGTGAATGACATTTCTTCCAATTGGGTTCTCTGTGTCCGTGGAGGCTCCAAGATCTCTGAAAGGAAGACTCCTGTTTTTCTTTCAGTCATCAGATTTACCAACACAACCTAGTCTCAACTAATAGGTTTTCTTCTACACTGTTTAGGTTTTGTAAACAGCAGTTCCCAAAGGCATAAGAAAAAAAAAACAAAATTAGTTTTCCCAATACTAAATTTGCTCTTCGATACACCTTGAGCAGTGCAAGCTTATCTTCTTGCTGAAGAGTAGAGAAGCCGTGGCAGTTGCTTGGAGACTTCTACTATGAGCTTAACTGTTGAGGAGCGTCATCTCGGTAATTTCCTTGATTTCATGTCACTTGCCTCACCCTCGAAGCAAAACTGAAGAAAGGAAACAGAAGCCATCATGGCAAGGAATGACCCAAATGATCACAATGAACAGGGAACACAACAATCTTAAGTGTTTTCAACTTCATGAATATAAGGCAGTGGTATATGTACATTGTCTTGTTTAGTCAGAGCCCTGTATATATAATGAAATATATCTTTCAAGAGAGTAATAGGTGCTAAAGTGAATTTAATGAGATGAATTAAACTTAAAGTATATAGCTTACTGAACTACCCCCCGGCAAGTAATTCTAATATAAAATATGCAATAACTCCTTTGTCTTGCTTTGAGTTGCATTTCAGCACAACCTATTTGCATTAATAAAAATAAACATAATATAAAAAAGCTTATTTCATATCCCATATGACTCTAGTCTCATGCACACGCACATGCATACACTGAAAAAGGTTTCTAACATACAAATAGACACAAAACTCATAAAACACCTTCAAAAACAATTTCAGTAATTCTCTAGACACTCAATGAAATCTCTTTGCTCTTAATCAAGTATTCTTGTTTTCATTACTATTATTTTTTTCATGAAAACTCTTCGAGTTCTTCTCATTCTCCTATCTTTCATCATGCAATCCTAGCACCGCCTGCCATCATGCATCCTTCCACTACATCCATGGTGGTAAAATTGAAACTTCCATATGGCATGGATATGACAAAAGGCTAAATATAGTCTATTCTCAACAGATCCCAAAAGCTTCCATCTAAGTGAAGACTTGATGTGTTGGGTATGTGTCATTGTACTTTTGTTTACTACTCACACAGACAGAGGAAGCAATAACTGAATACAGGCAATATGTTCATTGCTATGCTTGACTTTTCTTTTACTATCTATGTTTTTTCCATAATTTATTAGACCACAACTCACCATTATCAAACACATATTTGCAGTATACAATCGGGACATCCATTTCTAATCACACATGAATATACAAGGCAGTGAGTATTAGAGAAACTAAAGAATCTACAATTGAACATGGAGTGAGAAGAAGAGAATGAAATTCTTTAACCACTAAATTTGATCATAATTTACATCTATAAAGCATTACATTTATTTTATATAATATATATAAAACAGCTGTAGACTATTGTTGGGTGTGTCTTCAAACAAATATAAACATGCATAAGAGAGAAATAATGAACATGCTTAGACATCCAATCACTGACAAAGATGAAGTAGACAAAGATGAAGAGTGCAGAAGTAGGTAAGTGAAGAAACTGCCAGTTTAACAGGTCAAATGACATGCCGGGTCAATGCAGGAAAAAGTCCAAATTGCTGTTATGTAAGGTGTGTGTCCACTCTGTGGCTTTACAATAAAGCATGGTCACTCTGTTTTTGTTCACATTATCATGCACAATCAGTCAAATCTATGCAGTTTTCCCAGAATAAATCTATATAATCACATATGGGGGTGAAAATGATCATGAAATATATAATGAGAGTGGCAACTGACTGCCCAAAATTTGCAGTAATGTAAAGAATGACATCAAAACAGTAAAACATCCCCTAGTATGCAATTTCTCACATGTATGTATGTCTGATCTAACAGAATAATGCAAATTAGGGCTAATTAAATGGTCACGAATTTTCATTACTGAGGCATCTGTAGGTCTTATAGATGTCAAGCACTGTTTATTTCTTACAAATAATGAATTCTTACTACTATACAGAATCCGAGAACAAAATTGAATTCTGAATAGTGATTGAAATGACATTCGACATTACCTAAAGAAAGAAAATAAGCTATATACGTTTTCATGGTTTTTATGTAGTCTCATTCCTCAATATTTTTTTTCATTGATAATGTAAAAAATCGTAGTCTGAACATTAATTAAAACACAATCTAGACCAATATTTTGGCATAAAATCAGGTTTTGGAAAGTTTCATTTTATTTAAAATGTTTACAAATTTGTAATTGTTTTAAATATGCGTTCCTGTTCCAAGTTTGCTTCCTCAAATTCTTTTA